AAGACTGCGAGTACAGCCAGATCAGCACCCACAGCTCCTCCCCGATGGAGTCGCCCCACAAGAAGAAAACCGCGGCCCGGAGGAAATGGGAGGTTTTCCCGGGAAGGAACAAGTTCTTCTGCAACGGGAGGATCATGATGGCCCGGCAGACGGGGGTCTTCTACCTGACGCTCGTCCTGATCCTGGTCACCAGCGGGCTCTTCTTCGCCTTCGAGTAAGTGGCGGCGAAAGCTCCCCACGCCGGGCTCCCCGCGCCTGCCCCCGCTCCCGCCCCTCCCCTCGGTACTTTCGTTTTCCAGAAGCCTTATCTACCGAATATTGTTATATAATGCAGCCCTCTCTCCCTCTCTCTCTTTTGAAGGTCTGTTTGCTTCTGGGCCCCGAGACAGTGCAGCTCTGGTCGGGCTCTGGGAGGGGAGGGGGCGCTGCCCCAGCGGCCGGTGGCACCCCGCAGGTGCCTGGTTCTGGGCGCTGTCCCTGTTGAGTTTGGAGACTAGCAAACCAGCCCAGGTGTGGCCTGTGGGAAGGGGCATTAAATAGAAAGACTTCGTTTCTTGCTCAGAGACCGTAGGGCATCTTGCTAGGCTCAGTTGACTAAATCTTATCCATACCTTTGCTGAGTAATGAAGAACGTTGGTTATTTTTAGGTTTCCAAGTGTAGGCCACCCAGCCTGGCCTGGAAGGGTAATTTCATTCCCCTCAGATGTTCACTCCTGAACAACAATTTCTGATTGACCACGATGTTTCTGAACTGTTCACTTTTTAAAAAGTTTCAACGGAAAGTGTTCCAAACAAACACTTTTCCCTCTCGTCGGTATTTGGGACCAGGTGAAAGGAGACTTCAGACCTGGTCAGGAAAAGTGTGGCCCTGCGGGCGACTTTCTCGTCCCAGAAGCAGTGCTTTGGGACTTGGGCGCTTTTATCTGGAAAAAAGTGCGCGTGAGTCTTTGCTGTCTTCAGGAAAATGAAATTGGCCGGTAGCAACTGTTCTCCTGCCAACTAATGAAAGATCTTCTTATTTATTAATGGTATTAGGTAAAGCAGTTTAACCTTGTTCCAGAATCAATTTCAATTGCTCTTATTGGGCCCAACATTTGCAATGCAGCTGCTGCTTACGTAATTCCTGGTATCTTATGCTCAATGAAAGTTGTAGCTACTTCCCTCCAGAATTGAAAAAGCTATATATTCCTGGGCGTTCCTTGTGCTTCCCATGTCCTGGTGGCGATGGGGCATGATACCCTTTTCATCTATTGCATAGGGTTAATTAAAACCTTCTCTGTTTCTTTACTTTTGTTTCTGATTAGTATTAA